GCTGCACGCTCATACTCTCTCCTGCACTCGATATGTGATCCATTGTTGATCTGCACACAGCTGTTGTCACAAACGTCGCACTCGCTTACCTCACTGTCATGAGAATTATCTGAATTATTCTCCTTTAAAATGTCGAGCTTTTAATAAATAATTATCTGAATCTTACACCCAAAGTTTTAATCTGATGTAAAATGTATAGAAGTCCATTACTGTATATAGTAACTATTAAGTCTAATATACCCTAGTAAGCTATAGTACTTTTTCCTTTGGGAAGCTACCATCTGTGCAGTCAGCAGTTCTGTTGAAGAAAGATGTTGAATCTATTTAATTATTCTTGAAAAATAATTGATTTCTGTGGATTTTTTTTCACCCTGCATCAAATTAAAGTTGATTACGTTGATTAAGCATCATGAGGTGGAGGGTGGTTCCCTATTTTTTTATTTTTGTAACCCTATTAGTTAGGTTGCTTATTCTTTAAAATACCAGAATAGGGAGATGGAGTAGGTTTAAGTTTATTAGATTGATCAGTATTGCTGAACTATGAAATATTTTGGGTGCAGTGTATTTTTTGCATACAGGTATAACAGAATAGCTTTAGTGTTTGTTTGTTTTTAAACTTGAATATGAACTTATACAAAATGCAGCAAGATATTAAAAAAAACTTTTATTGATTAAAAACACACTATATCGGATTCATATCGGTATCGGCCGATATCCAAATTTATGATATCGGTATCGGACATAAAAAAGTGGTATCGTGCCATCTCTAGTTTCTACATGCTTTTCTTTTCACATCACTGTATGTGGCCAAGGAACAATCTCAACAATCTCAACGTTTAAAGAGTCCATGGCTGAAATAACCTTTTCAGGTCGGGTCTGGCATGCTTTAAGATTGACCCTTGAACAGACACAAGTTAAAAGCCTACTCTGTCAAAAGGGACACTTCAAGCTTCAAAGAAAGAAAAGGTGGCCTGATTTGTTTTTGTACGCAGACCAGTACAAACTAGTACAAATTGGGTTTTGGTACCAATGTTTAACCAACATCCCAGAGATAAGTAGTCTCACCTTCACTTCAAACAGTTTGCTCCACACCGGTGTCACAAAATAGAGGATACCATTCTTGGCTCCAGGAAGCTGCACATTGTTGATGAGCAGGGCAAACAGGATGAAGTATGGAAACACAGCAGTGAAATATACTACCTATAGAAAAAATGGCAAAAAACCCAAATGGTGAATGTCAACTTGAAATCCCCCTAAAAAAAAAAAACCTTCATCACAATCACCATGACACAGCAAAAGTCATTTTTCTCACCTTTCCTGTGGATTTGACTCCTTTAAATATACATAAGTACACAATAACCCAAGCAAAGACAAGACATCCAAAGAGTTCCCAACGAAGACCACCTAATTCTTCAATACCGCGAGTCTTTTCCAGAAGTCTGTTACTGTGAAAAGGAAAGAAAAACATGCGACTAAAGTATCTTGAAATACCCAGAAAATTCGAGATAACTGCGATTAGAACATATCAGTAAAGCCTGACCAGCATGCAGTACAATGCACTCACAGAGAGAAGAAAAAACTACAAAACATTTTGAGTTAAACAACAAAAACTGCTTTAAATTTGGTCAAAGACACTTTGCTAATGACTAATGACGGTTTTCAGTAACTTTAAGAAGAAGAACACAACATGATTTGAGCGAGCACTGCTTATACAGCACAAAAGTGCCATACAGAGTGAACTGCAAGGAAGTGATGTCTTCTCACTCAAAGAACTGTTGGCTAGCAGACTGCAGGTGGGTATCATTGCCAGGAAAGCCACTCGAACAATTTCCAACAGCATTCCAGGTGTTGTTGCAGGACTTCCAGGGCAGAGTCTCCATTCCGAAGGAGCTGAATAAATAGTAAAGTGCCCAGCTCATGAGCACATTATAATACGTGCAGAAAACGAAGGAGATAACAACTGTGGCCAGACCAACACCTGCAGAGTGACACGTGGGGATAAAGAGAGTAGTGAGAGACAGCTCTACAGGAGTCGTGCCAACTGTGGGAAAGAAGCTGTACGCGTTGCTTTATTCTCATACCCAAAGCATTACTGAGTGCCATATACTTGGGCCTGATAACAATGGCATATATCTTTTGTAGAACAACCAGAGAAGAGCCAGTATCATTAATAACCTCTGCCCAGTTTCCCCAATACACAGCCACAGACGAGACAAATTCCTGGGGCCTTTGAGTAGAAATTACGCCGTGTTGTTCAGCAGGTGAATATAAAAGACTACTGAGTGAGGTGAGATCAAAGCCATTCAGCAGATGTAAATTATTCAGTCTTTTAACACCTGTGGTTCTGAGCTGCGTGTCAGGTTTCAGACTGGGGCAAGTATATGTGTAAATACCAAATGCAAGTTTCAGCCTCCTCCTCAGGGAATTCAGAACAATGACTCGGTTAAAGAGCTCCCATCTGGAACAGGTATACAGGGTCATTAATTAGCTGAAATATCAGCCCTTTTAAATACAACAAAAAAATCTGTTCATTTGCTGAGTCAGACCGTTTTATGTGTCGAGATCAATGGTTAGAAGACTATGCTGCCATCTTTCAGAATACACTTATTTGTGCGCTTTGGGAAAGTCACTTAAATGACAGCTAAAAGTCTGTAATTTAACACTTGTACAGTTGCTTTTCTTCATTTTCTAGTCTGTTTCCTAAATAGAGACTGTTGGTCATCAAAGCAAAGGTACTGAGGATTAAGAGACACAGTTTTGCACCTTGAGATTTCCAACTTTTGCACTTTTTTTGTCTGCCAGTTGTTTTTTTATGGACTTTTCGTGAATTTCTGCTGTTTATGTAAGATTAAACATTCACTGGAGTATTTTTTAACACTTGTGTCTGTACTTCTACTTAAGTAAAGAAAGCCTGTATTTCTGCCACCTCTGCACAGCTGCTGCTCATTGTCGAAAGGCTGGAATGCCACGCGCCACAGATCCATGTCTGTAAAATATACATGTCTCCATGTAGTAAAATGTGGAGGGGGAGGCAGCTGAATAACAGCTCTGAGCAAAGGAAAACCCTCTAATCTCCAGGATCAGTGCAAACCACTGCTTAGTAAGTGCGCTCTACTTCCTTTTGTTTTCACCTGTTTGCCTCTTTCACACTAAATATTATTTCATATTATATTATTTCACACTGCCAAAAAATCTGAAACAGTTCAACTAAAGAAAAGCAAGGCAGAGTAATTAAAGTATTGCTAGGATTAAGGATTAGTGGATAACTCAGACATGGGTATATTTGCTATTTTTGTGGGAAGCTGGGAAGCTGCATCATGGATCACAGGTACATGACAGTAAACTGCACTCAAATTGCACAGGTGAGTCATTCAGAAGAATATACAAAAAAAAGACTACCTGCTTTGGGCCCCTGTTTAGCACAGAGCATTAACCAGGAAGAAATGAGCGATAAATCAAGTGAAGGACCCAAACGTTTTGACCGGGTAGATAATCTCTGTCCTTAAGGAGATAAGAAAACTATGGAGAAAAATCCTCAAGTTAGAACAAGAGAGAAAGCATTGTCATTTCACACCCACAAGTAGAGATTGTTGATGGCTGGTCTCTTGTTTGATTTAGAGGGATTTGGACAGACTGTTGGTCCTCTCAGAGTCCACACTTTTCATTTTCTGGAGATGTAAAACTGTGGGAATGTCTCAGCTTCTATATTTTTTTAACAACAATCGAACTTTAAGGAATATACTGATCCACTTTATTGGCCTTTTTAATGAACTAATGCAGACTCAGAGAGAACATCTTCAGTCGCTCGTGATTGACTTAATTATCACGGATTTTACTGACGTCAGCTTGATGGTTTGAAAGGTTCAATCATACCTCACAAAGTTAAAATACATGCAGTCACGAGGTTGAAAATTTGGCTAAACAAGTTCTCATCCATCAACATGAAAAAATATGAAAGAAAATAAAGCAGGATTTATTCAAACCAAAGCATTAAGACACCTGCATGCCTTCACCGTGGCTAAATATGGATAAATAATTGAAATCTTTATCTGAGATCCTTTTTTTACTTTACACTGAATGGTAATGTGGGCTTCATGGCTGGAGGAAAGCAGAAAATCCACACATGAGGTCTGTCATGTTTTACATAAATTATTCCCGTTTTTCATGATTGTCATGTTTTTAAAAAAAAACTTGCTTCTGTCAGGGTGTGGCAAGATTTCAAACCATCTCACTCTCATACATGGGTTGACTGCACTTTGTGCTTGGTTGTCATTATAAAGTGTGTTGCTGTTTGTGTTTCTTAACCCCTTTGCAGCTTTAACTCATCCTTGGCTGAAGACTTTTCTTTTTTCCATTTCTGTGTGTCGTCTGATTCATATGCTATGTTTTAATGTTGACAGCAATTATCTTTGAAATAAACACAGATATAATCTTGTGTTTTCATTGTGCTACAAATTTTAAATACATCAAGCTTGTCTGACCTCTTCTACAGTTACCTGGGTTGGTAGGGCAGTCCATTTTAGAACTCACTGTTTAGACTCTGTATTGATCAGCTGGAGTTTCTGGTGCTGTTGGCTAATAATTAAATATTTGTCTGCAAATATATGAGTTGGACTCTTGGTTTTGGATTTTGAAATCTATTATAAATGCATACGAAGAAAAAACGTGTTTTAAAGGTGGTCCAACAACAAAAATAAATAAGTCCTGGATAGTAACTTACCTTTCAACAAGGGACAGATTTTGGCGAAAGCATGCACAGGCCCTAAACGAGTATACTGCCCAACAGTAAACTCCATGAAGAGCAGAGGAATGCCACACACGAGCACCATGGTAAGATAAGGAATCAGGAAGGCACCTGAAGAAAACAAAATTTAGCAGGTTTACAGCTCTTCTGAATAAACCAGCTGCAGAAAATTCCAAATAAATACTGCTGCCAATGTCCAGATGACAATTGTAAGCTCACAGTGATTGTTTTATAGTAGTCATATATTTATAATAACTAAGTAAGTAACTGCTGAATATCCTCTTTAACAAAATCTAGACAGCTTCTACGCTGTTTAGAAGTTAGTGTTTGTTCCTTTGCTTGCTTGTTTTGCTGATCATGTATGGTCGGTGGTTGGATCCCAGGCTGCCTCCTGGCTGCATGCCAAATATCCTTGGGCAAGATACTAACCCCATGTTTGCCTACTGGTGGTGGTCAGAGGGGCCGGTGGCGCCAGTGTCCGGCAGCCTCGCCTCTGTCAGTGCGCCCCAGGGCAGCTGTGGCTACAATGTAGCTTGCCATCACCAGTGTGTGAATGTGTGTGTGAATGGGTGAATGACTGGATATGTAAAGCGCTTTGGGGTCCTTTGTCATGTTCCTGGGTCGGTGACCCAGCGCTTTAAGTATATTATTATCATTTTCCAGTTCATCATGATTATTATTGTTGTTTGAGTTCTACGTGTTATATTCGGTCTGTATCTCTGTCTATGGTGTCACCCCGTCTGTTTGTGAATCTGTCTGTTTAGTTCAGCGTCTTGTCTGGTGTCCTGTTTTATTGTGAAGGTCTGTGTCGTATGCGAGTGTGTTCGGTTTACGTTTCCCCTGTCTCGTCAGCTGTGATTTCTCCCAGGTGTGTTCCCCTCCTGTCTCTCATCCCTTGATTACTGCCGTCTGTGTATTTAAGCCCTGTGTTTCTCTGTGTCAGTGTCGCGTCCTTAACGTCTGTTCACCCTCAACTTGCTGTGTGTTCATGATTTCCAGTCCTCCTGCATCTCAGTTTAGAGTTTTGTTTGCTTTTGTGAGTTTTATTTTATGTTGAAGTTTTGTTCCAGCAATAAAGCTGCATTTTCAGTTGAAACCTCGTTTCCTAAGAGTCCTGCATCTTGGGTCCACCACTCCTGCCTGCCTGCCACACAGCCAACCATGACATCCTTAAGGACTAGAAAAGCGCTATACAAATGCAGGCCATTTACCATTTTACCATTTATGCAACAGAGTACAATTTCCACTAGAGGCAGAATTTGCTTGTATAATTTTTTTGTGATGATTATCAAAAAGCATACAGCTGATGCTCAGTTTCTATTTCCTAAATGCTGGTGTCAAATATTTTATTATTATGATAAATGATTATATTTTATACCAGAGCAATGTCATTTCAGCCCCAGATTTGAACGTTTCTGTCACTGTGCTTAAGGAACCCACGCACATGTATGTGCCACTTTTCAAATATGTGCATGAGGAAAAATAGCAGGAGCTGTAATTGCGGGTGTAAAAGTTTGAACAAAGTGTATCTGAGCATTATTGACGAAATAATGATGAAAAAAAGCACAACTGAAAATATAACTAAAAGTAGAAAGTAAATCTGAAATGTACAGAAAATGTGTTTCTTTTATGTTTGTGCCCATTTCCACTTATTTATTGAAGTAAGTATGAAATATTAAAGTCACTAAGAGTTAAACCCTTTTTATTGTCTTTGCATTTTCTCATTCAATTTTATATTACCAGTTATTTTGAAACAAATAAAAAAAATCCATAAAAAACAAATCAGTAAATAACTAAATAACCCTTGCTGACCACTTTAATGTTAATCTACTGTTTAACAGACTACACAGTCACTGTTACATAACTGAAGAATGACGATAAATGATGGAGTGCAGGTAACCAATCATATCATGATGATGATTTTTTTCAGTCCCGCCATGCAGAAGCCTAATAAAATAAAAAATAAAAAACAGTAGCTGCTGCTATGTTTACGGTCTGCTTCGTGCTCCGTGTTTTTAGCACTCTTACCTCCACCGCTGTTGTAGCACAGGTACGGGAATCTCCAAACATTACCGAGTCCCACGGCGTAACCCACCGTGGACAGGATGAACTCCAGCCGGCCGCTCCATGTGGGTCTCTGAGCCTCTGCGGTCATCTCGAGATCTGCAGTACCCGATTCCCTGCTATCAGAGGTTTCCCGTGAGTTCTCCACACCAAAATCCATTGTAGCTTAGTGATGAAGGTAAAGAGGGTTTTATTAAATCAAGATGATTCGCGCTTTAATTTGCCACAACAAATAAGTTGACTAGATTTGGTGGAGTGATGTAAAGACAAGAGAAAAATGAACTTCTAGAGGGTCTGAACCGAAGATGTCTGAGGATAAAAGGGGATGATATGCGCTACCAATACAGCAACGACATCCCAACAAGGACTCCTAACCCAGACAGGTGTCATGTATGTCAAGGCAAAGCCCACTCCTTGTGTAAGCCTGCCTTTTCACCCTTTTGCAGGTGTTGCACAACACCTGGCTATTGTCAAACAAGTGTGGGTGTTTTGGATTCGCCCGTTTCCGTTCTTTCCAAAATAAAGGTCCAGAATCCCACCCTTTTCGTAATTGACAGACACATAAAAAGAACCATTAACCAAGTCTTCTGGCTGGTATCAGCACAAAATAAATATGAATGTGATTCAAAATATTCCAAATCAAATGAGGAGAAATTTTTAAACAGGGAAAAAAGAACAAGCTGCCACCCATGTGGGGTACACTAGCCCAGACAGTGTGTCACAGATTAGTAGGCAGAGGACTCACTCGCAGGACTCTGAAGTTTAGAGAGAAGGTGAGGGTTTATTTGCAATGTGACACCAAGTGAGAATATATACATATATACAGTGGAACAGATAACGCGGGGCTCCAGGGAGTAGGGCGTGGTCCGAAGGGAAGGTCCAAGACGGGGGTACACACACGCTCTTCTTCAACTTGATCCGTAACTCACTCCAAATGTCCACACCAAAAAGCTCACGCTCACTCACACACATCCACAGAAATCCAGACGGCAGGGAAGACGGGTAGGGAGTCTAGAAGGCCTGTACACAGAGGAAAAAAACAATGTCAGGAGGAAACTCTAGGAGATCAAAGTGAACACTTTCATGGGCTAGGATACGCTGACGCTAGGTAGTATGACGATCCAGCGAGGAAGCAGCCTCTCTTGCCATCTTAAGTAGTCTGCCAGGATCAGTGTGAATGAGCCACAGGTGCGTGTTCAGGGCGGGTTCAGAGGCGGGGAATCAAGGTCCAGTTCCGCCCTGGTGGGAGAGGCTAAGACAAAAAATACACACACCACGACCTCTCCAGATCTTGAGAACCATGACACAGTGGTGGATCGTCTTGCATCCCTCTTTTATTTTGAAAGGAACCCGTTAACTCTATTCCTGCTCCCGCTCCGCTTTACTGGCCTAATGCGAGTTTGAATCGTATGAATAGATCACTGGCTTTGTTCGGTGTAATATTTACCATGTAGACCAGTTTCCTTTACTGGCATAGGGAAAAACTCATAAAGAGGGATTACTCTAGCCAATATAAAGTTGAATTGAAGGTTCTTTTAAAGTGGTTTTATTTATGGTCCTTTCTGCTCTTTTTACAAAATCTATATTGGATGAGTGTGTGCAGAGTTTTATTGCTTAAAAGCAAATACACTATTCTACTCTGTTCTATAGGGTTTATGTTCCGTAAACGTGTGCCACAAGCTGGTTGAACCGCAGACTGACCCGAAGACTAATTTAGCTGTCAAGTAGCAGCCAATCAGAACGCTCCCTGCTTGCACGAGGAGACTGTTGGTGGTTGTTGGGAAAAGGGAATGGAAAGAGAGCATTGAAGGACTGTAGCATTGATTTATTCCTCAAAGATGACGGTGTGCTTTTGTATGTGTTTGCGTGGGTGCGCATGTATGCAAGCATGCATGTTGGTAACCAGTAAGCAAATCCAAGGCTTGCTTTCCATGCGCTTAACTGCTTATATTGTGTTTCTGACAACCTAGCTTTGTCCAACTTTGCAACATGTCAGTTGGTTGGAATGGCCTCATCGGATGGTTTCGTTCCTGTTTATTAGCTTGTAAATTTTGACATTAGAGCAAGTTCATATGATTTGCACAGTTTAGGCGTTGCATTGCTTTTTTGTTGCATTGTTTTGATGGACAGCAGGCAAGAACTACTGCGTAGCACCACACATTATATAGAGGCCTCCTTGTTGCGTTTGGGTTATTTGTTTTTAAAGTTGCAGTGTTAAAAATGTCATCACTAGATTTCAGTAGATTGCAGACTGCAGTCAGCTGTTCTGTTTTCTTAACCCTCACAATTCAAATACATACTTTTTGATGGCTATCTGTGGTGAATGTAAGCTGCCAGTCCCCTGTTTACCTCGGCTGTTAGTAGACTGCAAAGCTTTGTGAAAGGAGTAAATAAATGAGAAGAAATCAATTAGGAAAAAAATATAATGTTTATGCACATTTCATGGGTCAGAGCCCTGACTTCAGTGCAGGAGATGAGGCTTGAGGTGTGTTTTCTCTTTCCTTCACGTTTTCACTTTTCTGGTGAAGAGCCGCCCAAGATATGAAGGCAAGGTCTTTCATATCTTGAGTCTGAAAGTACAGCCATGAATTAAAACATGCCTCTGCATTATGTTTAAGTTCACTGGCAAAAAGAGAAGTTTGTGTCTAAATATGTTATATTGCATGTTTACACAGCAGATGTAAACCTAGTTTATTATGTCATTTGTTTCTTGTTACAGAACCAACACACACAGAAGGAAGACATGAAGTGTAGCTTGCTCCTATTTTTCAATACAAGAACATCTGCTTTTTAATTACCGCCCCCAGGAAGGTCGAAGGTAGAACTGCGGTAACTCTTAGAACAGGGTACTCCAAACAGAAGTGGCTTAATAATAGTGTTGTGTCAGGATGTGTATGGCAGCTTCATTGTAAGGTCCATCATGACTATTACAGTGTAACAACAAATACTGCCAAATATAATGTTTACCTTGTTTAAATAACAATGCATGGGCTTTCACGCAGCTGCATTCTAAAATCAAGAGCCAAAGACTTAATAATAAGCTTATCGTGAATATCGTCCTGGCTACTGTAAACTCTCCACTCTCAGTTTATTCTACCTTATCTCAGTTTTTCTCCATTACTTTAATGCACTGTTAACAATAGCCCCATTTTCATTAATATGCCACACAAATATTGAACCATGTCCCACGCTGCAAAACAGGAAATTAATGTTTCAGCCACAGTCAGTGAAACTGAGGAACTCATGACGCATTCATGTTCCTGCCTGTATATTGGCCCTTTTACGTAAACTGAAGATTGAAGACACAGTTCTACAGTTTTCCCAGTGTTGTGTGGCTTTATTTTGAACATGTTAAAATAACATAACAATAACAAAGAAAACAAAGAAACAAGCAGAAAAAATCAATGTGACTGTACTGTAATGTACAATGGCTATTTCTGAAGACTACTTAAAAAATAACAAGAAAGCTTGGCTGACAGAGGCCAGGCTGTGCTGAAGAATAAATGTGGATATCAAGCTTGTTGAACTGCGCAAACTGTTTTTTGCTCATATTTCCATATATATTTGCACATGTTTCAATAAATCACTACACCTATTCCCCATTTTCCAAGCAAGACATAATGAAATGAGGTGCGGCATGAGATTTCACAGCACTGTACTAATACTGACAGATGTTACAGTGAATAAGCCACTTTTTTTTTCAATAAACAAAACTGTATACATTTTTAAAATCTTAGTACATACCAGCATTTGTGTTGAATGCTTTGAAACTAAAGCTCATATGTGATTTAAAGGGAAACTAACTCTTTAAATTCAATCGCCTAAAGGTCAACTATGAGTCATGAATCATGTTATTGTAAAAAATGCTTGAACACACCGTCTTCTGAATTTGGAAGTGTAAATTATAAAAGAAATATTATTCTGCATGGAGCAGAGAAAAGCAAAGAAACAACACGCGCACTTTGCCAGTTTAATGTGTGCTTAAATCTTCTCATTAGGTCTAATACCCTTTCAGTAAATAACATTCATTGCTATTCTGCCTGTGTTGAAATGGTTTTAAAGAGATGATGCCTACTGATTTCAGATGTTGCAGTGAAATTATTGTTTTGCCCAGCCCAGTATTATCAGTGAGCCTTGGCTATATAACAGAAATAAAACAATTTAGAAGCACTTTAAAGGCTGACTTGTTCCTACAGTTAATCCCATGTTTTCCATTTAAATAGGAAAAGTGCAAAACACAAATTGTAAAGCAAACCATTACTGATGATATAGCAGTCATTTATCTTTTATAAAATTTTAAAAGACTTAAATGGAAATTTTAAAACAGAGAAATCCTTTGATACAACTGTAGAACTTCAGGAAAGACACTTGTCTTGTGTCTTATTGTACTGTACTTACTCTTTTGCTTTAAGAATGCAATAAGATCTGATGATTATATTATCCTTAATATATTATGACGTCAACACTTTAAAAGCATCCCATCGTTTTTATGTCGCGACAATAACATACAATAACGTTTCATTTCTATCCACAAAAGCCTAGCAACCACATAGCAAATCGTTGTGTAGTGCGGTGATATTGGCAGTAGATGGCGCCACTGTTTTTCCTTTCGCGTTTGGGGCCAAATCTCAGTTTTCTCCTTCTTCCAGGTGCGGAGGTTTGGCCTTTCCGCTCTCCGTACAGGAATGTGAGCACTGCATTACGTCAGTCATCCTGCCCGCGGCGAGAGAACAGCTCCGTCCAGGAGGTCTCAGCTCACTGCTTTCTCTCTCTCTCTCTCTCTGTGGAGGATTAAAGGCGTTTGTGTTTTCTTCCTGCTGTGTTTAGAGGTGGGAATTTCGGACGGGGAAGAACGAAAGCGTGAAGCGGCTCATGACAGCTCTCCTCTTCAGTATGAGGAGTTAGTGAAAAAACAAAAAAAGGGACCTGAATATCGACGACACTCTCGCGGAGTAGATGGAGGAACCAGGAGGTAAAGTGGTATTTCACACTGTACCTTTACATTGAAGTGATGCTACATTGCAGTGATGTAAAAGAGCACCATCTCTCTGTCTGAAGCGCTCAGCTCACGCAATGTTTTTTACCTTTAAAAACTGGGCTTTTTGGAGACCGAGCGCAGCGGCGCGATTGTTTGCTCGCTCAAATCCAGATCCCAGTTAAACCAGTATTGCAATTTTCACATGAGGTTTCTGCGCTACACCTATTTACAGGGGAGGCTCGTTTCTTTCTTTGCAGATAAGTGTTACTGTGTGGGCTGTAGAGGAAAGATTCAAGACTCGTTTCAAATGAAAGTCCTCCAGGACACTTGGCACAACGCCTGCTTCAAGTAAGTGGCTGCAGATCCTGATTTTAAGGACCCTCATTACTCTGTCATGAGCACAGTTTTGTCACTCATACTCCGATGACTGTGTATAAGGAGGTGTTAGCTCGCGCTGACACAGACAGTTGTTTGTGTGGTTGATTTTGTGTGTGTGTTTGTAGTTTACTCTGTTTGGATCTACTTACAAATGGACCTGTGGATAATCCCAGAATTTTCTGTTCTGTCGCCTAAACACAGACTCGTGTCTGTTTTCAACTGTTCTCCATTGTTATTGTGCACAAAATGTCCTCTGTAGAACGTCATTCGGCAGTCCCAGCTGACAGATCGCCTCCCCAGGAGAACTTTGCCCCTTCTGCTCTTAAGCTTAATGATTGCCGCCGTGGAGA